CTTATAGTCTAACCATCCTGTCTGTGGCTCAGCCAAACAATGCCACAGCACTTCCCCCATCTACATTAAATTTTGCTAGCAAATGACTAGTTCTCACAGATTGTGATATTCATAATAAATGGCAATATTATATTTTCTTCATTACCCGATTTCTGTTGCAGTTTCAACTGTATACTACTAACCCTTCCCTTTCCCTCCCTATTTTTTATATCTGAAGATTTTTAATATTCAAGGAAAGACAACAGAGACCCTTAAATGAACTTAATTGTGTATAAGTGTTTGATAATAACCAATGCTGTCTAAATTAATATATTTTTAATTATCCTCCAGAGTATTGTGACCTTACCTCGTTGTAGTTTTTTAGATAGAAAAAGAAGGAAGAAGGAAGAAAAAAACAAAACAGAATAAAGGAAAGAAAGGAACAGGAGATATAAGAGGAGCAGGAGTAGTGTCATGCTGCTCTAGAGGGTAACTGTGCCTCCCAGCCAAAATGTCTTTTGAGCTCAGTGTTCTGATACTGAGGAAAATGCTTCTTTCTCTGCTGCTTTCAGAAGCTGTTCAGTTGTGTCCACTTCTTTATGAGCTCCTGGATTTAAAAAAAAAATGTGTACTTGTCCCTAGCAAACCCAATCTAACTTGTCTTATTTCCAAAGGGTACTTGTGGTGAAGGTGAAGTTTCCAGTCTAGAGGTCATGCCCATGTGCCACATCCCACTGTCTGCAGCTTCATGCTATATTACACACAATGAAATCTGGCCTTTTAAACTCCTTTCCCGACCCCCACCCCCACTCTCTGCCAGTTTCAGATCCAGACAGCTTTTCTCCTCCCTTCCCCAATTTGTACACATAGTAAGAAAGCTTCATAATCTATACTCAAATGTTAAATCTGCAAGAGTCTTGACCACCATGGCTGGGATGCTTTCAGAAGGAGTCTGGATGCAGGCTGCCCAGCTGCAGGCATGCTAGCACGCTTCTACAGGAGTGAGAGCTGAACCACATCAATCTGCTTAATTTCTTTTGTGACTCCTTCCTTGCTTGGAAACAGAGGGCTTGGGCTTCTGCAAAGACACTCAGAAACTTGCATCCTTTAATTTTGTAAAGAAGGAAAGCCATCAGAAACCCCCAAGCTACAAATAAACAAAAGTATAAGTAAATCAAGCCAATCTGATTTTCATTTCCAAATGAATTGTATAACCCTCTTTGAAAAGAATGAAGGGGTATGGAAAATGTGGGGTGGGAAATTGGAGTGTGAAACAGCTCAACAGGGAATACAGATGTTACTCAGTGCTTGCATGACCCAGGAATTGAAACTTTTGCAGTCTTGCTGGAGAAAGATACTGGATTTGCTACAATTACAATTCCTCCACTTCAAAGCCCAGTTCTTATCTAGGGCGACTTTTAGCTGCCCCATTCCTTTAAGTTAGATAGCTATTGTCATTTAATTCAACCCATTAGCTCTATAAGGGATGAGGGAGTCAGACTGAGGACCTGGAGTGAGCTTCGGGATCTGGATGAGGAGCACACCAAGATATGTCTTTAGCCCAGATGCCAGAAAGAGCAAGCTTAAGTAGGGGTGACTTGGAGTTTAAGGCAAATTGCAGTCTATGAAAAATAAGTTACCAGCTCTTTGCAACAGTAGCTTCACTTGGACTTATTTTTCTCCCATGTCCAGACAGGGTTGTCTATTGAATGAGGCTCTTTTATTTTGCATGGGGCAGGGGATTTGTGACCATGGTCCCCCCTTTTATTCCTCTCTCTATGGAAACCCAGATCATGGGGAGAAATATGCAAGGCTGAATAAAGAGAAGCCACAGAAAGGAGCGCTTGAGAGCGGCATCTGTTACACTTGGGAAGTTAGACTGACAGGAGAGGGCTAAGGAAACCTCTCTAGTAGATTAGTTAGAACAGCAAGAAGATTTGACTACATGTAGATATTTTCTTCAGAAAGCAAAATGCCTTGCATTCAGGAAAGATTTTGTTACAACTGCCATAGGGAGTGATCGCACCTAATTCAATAGGCATTATCTATATTCATAAAAACAATTTTAAATGAGAGGAAGAAGAGGGGAGAAGAGAGTAAAAGACACAGATGCAAGAGAGGAGAAGAAAGGAAAAATGAATGAAAATAAGGATTTTTGCTCTTAATAGACATTTATTTTTTTTTAATTAAAAGCGAGAAAATGAGGCTATGAAAAATCTGTTCCTGGGTTTAGATGTCACCTCCTTGTACCTTCCCCTTACCTCCAGACTTTGGACTAATGGTCTGAGCTACTTTTGCTTTACTAGCAAAACCGGGTTACCAAAGCAAGGCCATGACTAAGAGAAAGGTAGACTCCAAAAACTCCTGCAAGTCCGAACTAAAAGAGAACCCCCCTTTTCAACAAAAAGCTTCATCAGATGATAGTTATCTTTACCTCCTTAACAGCCAGTCTGAGATAAGCAATTCTTTCACCCAAAAGCAGCTGCTAGGTGGGGGTAGGGAACATACCAACAACATGACAATAATCATGATCGGAATTTTGCACATACGGTTTCTTCAACACATTTCCTCTGACCTTTCAACTGACCCAACAAATACTAGCAAACGGATCACCAAGCAGGCAGTCTAATCGAGCACTGAAAAGTTCTTTTTGTTTAATTTTAATGAGTTCTTATTTCTTCAGAAGCATAAGTTCAGGCACAAATTGGATTGCATTCTTGTGAAAAGATGATGCATACATTCAACAGTAAGAAACAGCCTACCTCATTCCTCCACAGAAAAGAGAAGAGAGATAGAAACAGACACACAGAGATGGTGAGAGAGTGCCTGCGCATAACAGTATAAGAGGAAGGGAGGGAAGGACAAAAAGGTGGGAGGGAGAGAGAGAGAGAGAGAGAGAGAGAGAGAGAGAGAGAGGAAAGGAGGGAGGGAGAGAGGGAAAGGCAGAGACAGAGGGAATGAATCGATTTCTAGGTTAAAAGCAGATAAGCCCTTACAATAGGACATCAACCAATGAACCCACAATTTCAATGAGGGAATAGGGTGAGGCCTGAAGAATGGCAAAAGATCCTCTCTGCCAATAATTACTAAGTGTTTATCTTTAAGAGCAAAAGAAAGAGTTCAAACAGATGCCAGGTTTTCTCACCTAACAAATGCGCATTTACATTTACCAAGCTCCGCTCCTATTACTTTGTGCTGTCATAAAAATAATCACCAATTTCACAGGAAATAGATTCTCTTTAGCTATATAAAGGAATGGCAGAATAGGCTCACCTTGCTCTTAAATTTTTTTTTTCATTTTCTTGCATTTTCTTCAGAGCTGTCTTCTTAGAGAAACTAATGCCTTAATGACTTTCTGGTAGCTGCAAGCCTTCTTTTATTTCAGCTAAATATATGAAAATGTATGCAAATTTAAATCAAGCTTAACCTAGGAGCTCTTGCAATATATTTAATGGAATTTCAAACCAATAAGGGAACTCTGATGCTGTCTTCTGTAAGAGCAAATATAATTACACAGCTAGGTTGCCTCCAAAATTACCGAATGAAAGGGCATTTTTTTTTAAACTTCAGATTTGGTGAGGGTAGTATGTTTTGCCTTTTCCCAGCTACTATATTCTATTCTTTGCATTTCCCCCAACTCTGCCTCCAAGCAACACCTTTGCAATGGGGCTGTGGAGCACATAGAGTTAGTCTTCTCTAACTCATAAAAGCCTAGGAGGATATGTCTTTCCTCTAACCCAAATTTAAAAACAGTTGGGCTCCCCAGGCTGAAAACTAATTCAAGCTTTGTAGCAGTTGTGAAGAATAGGAGAGTTCTGAAAGACTTCTAGCCCCCACGGTCTCTCACCCGGTTTCTTCCAGTTTCTCTCTCCCCTCTCTCTTCCTCTCTCCTTCCTCCCCTTTCTTCTCCCCATCTCCTCTCCCCTCTCCTCTCTGTTCATCTCTCCTCTCTGATCCTCTAAATTTTCGGAGAACAGCAGAGGAAGCACATTTTTCAGTATTTCTTTCGCACTGCCGAGGAAGCAGGACATAAAGGTCTCAAAGAGTTTTCAAGGAGGGCAACACAAGGCGGGCATGGTGGTACGAATGCTTTCCTGTCTTCCTATTGGTAGTGGGGAAGTGGGCTTTCTGTGTCTGGGGTGAATGTGAAAGATGACTGTGGGCTTCAGCAAGCAGTGCCTCTGACAGAAGCTGAGAGATTTCTGATGGGAACTGACAAGCAAGCAAAGATAAAGCCACGTTTCCAATTAACCAGCAAACTTCAAACTGACTGAATCTTTCAAGGATCCCTTGAAGATTTACATTCCCAAACCCTTCAGCTCTTCCTACCATGAATCAAAAATTTAAGGAAAAAAAAAAAAAGCAGTAATCTTTTTACCCAGAGCTTTCTAGTCTCTTATAAATGAAAAATAAAAAAAAAAAGCAAAATAAATCGGAATAGCTTTTATTGGACCATGGGAATTTCATTTGGGGTTCTGACCTAAGAAATTACTTTGATCAAAGTTTGTAGATGCATTTATTTTGCAGTCTCCTCCATACACTAATCCAAAACGCTAGCTAATTTTTTAATGCACTAAAATAAAAATGTTATTTTCTTCTTTTTGTTTTCTTTGTTAGTTTTTACTTTAAGTAAATCAAAAGGAGACGACCTGAAACCAAAGTTAGTTCTCTCACTGCCAGTCCACAGGAATATGTCTCTTCTACCCTTTCTCCACCACAAACAACTGTGTGGTCTCTGGGAGGGGGGAAGGGTTAACTAAAAAGAGCTGCTGCCACTCTGAGCTAGGCAGCCAATGGAGCCTAAAGATTGATTCACTTCCTGCTTGGGTCTCACTGAAACTCCAGAGCCAGCCTAATCTGGAAAGCGAGCTCTGCACCACCATTGGCTGTGTTTATGACTGGCCAGGCCAAGTCGCACTGCGATTGGCCTCAGCGGGTGCCGGTAACCCTCGCTAGCGGCTTTGGTTCCCCGCACTATAGATGTCAAAGGCTGAAGCTGCTCCCTTTGCCACATTATAACTAGTAGAGGATCCTCATCGACCATGGCCACAGCTGCCTCGAATCCCTACAGCATTCTCAGTTCCAGCTCCCTCGTCCCTACGGACTCTGCAGGCATGCAGCAGGGAAGTCCTTTCCGCAATCCTCAGAAACTTCTCCAAAGTGACTACTTGCAGGGAGTTCCCAGCAATGGGCACCCTCTAGGGCATCACTGGGTGACCAGTCTGAGCGACGGGGGCCCATGGTCCTCCACACTGGCTACCAGCCCCCTGGACCAGCAGGACGTGAAGCCAGGACGCGAAGATCTGCAACTGGGCGCAATCATCCATCACCGCTCGCCACACGTAGCCCACCACTCACCGCACACTAACCATCCGAACGCCTGGGGAGCGAGCCCGGCTCCAAACTCGTCCATCACGTCCAGCGGCCAACCCCTGAATGTGTACTCGCAGCCAGGCTTCACGGTGAGCGGTATGCTGGAGCATGGGGGACTCACTCCACCACCAACTGCTGCCTCTACACAGAGCCTGCATCCAGTGCTCCGGGAGCCTCCGGACCATGGTGAGCTGGGCTCGCACCACTGCCAGGACCATTCCGATGAAGAGACGCCAACCTCTGATGAGTTGGAACAGTTCGCCAAACAATTCAAACAAAGAAGAATCAAGTTGGGTTTCACCCAAGCCGACGTGGGGCTGGCACTGGGCACACTGTATGGCAACGTGTTCTCGCAGACCACCATCTGTAGATTCGAGGCCTTGCAACTGAGCTTCAAGAATATGTGCAAGCTGAAACCCCTGCTAAATAAGTGGCTCGAGGAGGCTGATTCATCCACAGGAAGCCCGACCAGCATTGACAAGATCGCCGCCCAGGGCCGTAAGCGCAAGAAGCGAACCTCTATCGAGGTGAGTGTCAAGGGAGTACTGGAAACGCATTTCCTCAAGTGTCCCAAGCCTGCAGCGCAGGAGATCTCCTCCCTGGCAGACAGCCTCCAGTTGGAGAAAGAAGTGGTGCGCGTCTGGTTCTGTAACAGAAGACAAAAAGAAAAAAGAATGACTCCGCCAGGGGATCAGCAGCCACACGAGGTTTACTCGCACACGGTGAAAACAGATGCGTCCTGCCATGATCTCTGACGGGGAGGAAGCCAAGAGGTGGCCCGCTGCCCTGGGAGCGGTGCGGATATCATTTTCACTCCCTACCTTCCTTTTACCATTACATTCTTTATCATTGCTATCTCTCTAGCTCGCTATCTCTCTCTCTCTCTCTCTCTCTCTCTCTCTCTCTTTTCTTTCACAGGGGTTTCTAACTTACATTAAAAAAGGAAACACACACACATTCAGGCTTCTCAATTCTAAAACAATTATTTTAAGCAGTCCAGGTAGCGACCTCATATTCCCTGCTGCCAGAGCAATTTCTTTCGAACCTTTTCTGTTGATCAATACGTATTGTTTACTCTGAGTAAGATTTGTTTGGTTGCTCCTCTCTAAGAAGGACAAGGAGCTGGGGAAGGGGGTGGGGGCGGGAAAGGGTGGGAAGACAGATGTGTGCCTATGAATAACCTTTCAGAGCCTTGGTTATAGCAGCTGTATTTCAGGTGAAACCTGTTTTACAATAGACTAGTTTTGCATTTTTTTAAAACTTCTATAGCGTTTCTAAATGTCCGCAGTGTTTTACTAAAAGCTGTACACAATATTTGTGAGATAATTTGTATCTAATCGACCACTCCACATTATTATTGCTATTATTATTATTTCTTCATTGAGCTGATGGGTTTTTAATTGCTTAAAAAGGGAGGGGAGGCTGGAAGGAGGAAAGAGAAAAATGTTAACCTCCTGCACTCCCACACTTCGGAATCTGCATGGAGAAGAGAGGATACAAGGAGAAAGTTGTTCGTGTTTCTATTTTTCCTGGGGGGACTTGAGTGCCTATATGGGCAGAACAGGCAAACGGAATGGGTTTGCAAAGTAGCCTGAAGAGGCTATTTGGCTGCTTTTTGCCCCCACCCTCCTTTATGGAACTGTGGAGTCCCTGTAGGTTTCCACAGCATAGAACATGGTGACCCAGAAGGATTCAGCAGTGGCGCGAAGAATGGGGCTGCCGGAATTCTAAATTCACCAAGGTCCTGAATGCCTGTGCGTGAAGTTTCCCACAGGCTGCCAGCACAGACGGGCTGACAACCTGCGCTACCCAACTCACGCTCTCGCTCTCCGAGATGAAAGACTTCGTTCACAAAAGGTGGCTTTCACCGGAGACCACCGGAGATGCAGGCGACAGATTCTGCCAGCGCCTCCCAGTTCAGTTCACCTCCAGTTCACCGCTGGCTCTCAGGGTGAGAAACACTATTGGTAGGGTGGTGAGGGGTGAGTGAACAGGCATCTTCTGCTTAATGCAGAGCGAAAATAAAATAATTGGCAAAAGTCACGGAGATTCTGGTCCAGCCGCACACCACCTCCTCCCTCTTGTATATACCAAGGTCCGAGTGAGCTGGTGGGAGACCATCTCAGTGTCTTTGACAAGCACAACTGGTGGAAGCCCATGGCAAAGATTGAGAGAGCTAGCGAGCGCCTGGGCTGCTGAGTTTATCCTTTTTGTTGTTGTTGTTTCTTTTAAAAATCTCTGTGTGTGTTTCTGTTCGTGTATGGCGTGTGCGTGCAAAAGTGTGTGTGTGTGTGTGTGTGTGTGTGTGTGTGTGTGTGTGTGTAGATAGCTGTGTGTTTACAGTATTAAACACATTACAGTATTAAAAATCCACAAAAACAAAACAAAACAAAATCTCGCTAGGCTATATATAGATCCCAAAATTAAGAGGTTACCGTGGCTTTATGGCTAGCTTTCTCTCATGTCCACAGGACAGGTTCACAGGTTCACCTCATCCTGAACAAGCACTGTGTGCTGACCCGATGAAGCGCCCAGACATGCCCAGACAACCACTGCGGGCCTGACCCCAGTGGATCTCAGCATACCAAGCTGATCTCAGGATTCAGCTTGCAGGCGCAGCTGTGTTAGACAAAGCTTCAGACTACCTAAGGACCAGAAAACCTTGTGCCCATTGTAGAAGACTCGCTAGTATGGGCTGCGAGGTTGACCACACTGTCTCTCCCCTTGCTGCAGTCGAAGAGCATATATTAATTCAAATCCTGGATCCTTTTGCGATTTCATTTTTGTCAAGCCTCTGCATTCTCTTAGACTTAGGTTTTAATTCTGCGATTTTATTTTCCTTGTTGAATTCATGTTTCACAAATATTCAAAGGGAGGTGGGCTGTTTGATTTTTTTTTTCTTTGCAGTTAAACGCTATGGTTCAAACCTGAGTGAGCCCAAATATTTCTGCCGACTTTATAATTGTACAGTTTTGTATATTAAACGTTTTTGAAGTTATTAATTTAAAAAAGATCATTTAGTTTATTCATTTAGTAACTGATGTATAATAAACGCTATTTTCATTAAGAGTTGCTTTTTCAACTATTTTATTCAAATTGCCTATTGCAGTTGCCAACAATTATTTATTTTCAATAAATTCTGCATTGTGTTTAAATGGAAATTGTTTCAAAGATGAGTTGGGTGTCAAAACGAAAACAATTCGCTGTAATGTTTGATGTGAACAGTTTTAGTCAAGGGGTTTATATTGACGCAATATTTTATTGTTGCAAAAGATTTAAAAGGTTTAAATAAACATTTTTCCAAAAAAAAAATGTTTTTTTCTCCTGGCCTTATTGTGTTGTGTGTGAAGTGGAACATTTAAAGGCGCACATCCTGGGTGAGCAAGTCTTTTGCTTTGCTTTGGCTTAGAAACCGTTAGTTTTTGTTTTGATTCTGATTTGTATTCCTCTGACTTTTGCCCTTCCAGTTTAGAAATATAATCTCACACACAATACCTGTTGGTGCACGCACATCCACATGTCCACACAAAATGTACTCCTCAATGGTGGGAAGCCAGCTAGGTAATACTATTTTCTTGGTGTTCTCTGAGAGCATAATCTCTTTGTCAACCAGTGTCTTCTAGTATGCCCCCCACCCTGAAGTTAGACCCATACCTTCCAGGGACTTGTACATTTCTTACATGCTCTCATCTTTCTTCATTCTCCCCAATTCCTGACATGCCCTTCTAGTATGGGACCTGCCTGGATATGTTTTTATTTTATTTTTTATAATATTTATTTAGTTATTCTCTTTACATCTTAATATTAGCCCCCTCCCTCCTCCTGGTTCCCCCTCTCCATCCCTTCCTTATTTCCCTATGTCCCTTCCCCTGCACCTCAGAAAAGGGGAGTCCTGACCTCCCACAAACTCACTACAGCACACTGGATATGTTTGTAATGTAAGGATTAGTGTTCCTTTGAAGGTGCTCCCTGGCCCCAGAAACCTCTGGTTTGGAAGAAGAGGAAGAAGAAGAAGATTATGAGAGAATTGAGGGTAAATTTTGATTTATTATAGTCATCTTTCCATTTTGACATATAATTTTACATGCATTACTATTTCATAAATTGTTCCATAAAAAAAGGATTGTTGCATGTAGTGGTAGCTAAGGAATAATTTGTTAACTATGAGACAATTCTACTTGAAAATTTTGTATGTACAAGCATGCCTTGTCCAACCTTTTTTTAATTGATACATTTTAAAAAATAAACAAAATACAGCTTTTTGGCAGTAAAGAGCTCTTCAGCTCATACTCTGTTATAGATATTTCTCTTAGACAAATCATAATTGTTAATCACTTTAATGGGTAATGATTATGATATAGAATGTCTTGACTTTTTCAGATTGCCTAATTATTTACAGCTTTATAGTAAAGCACATACATGTACTTGCTTTCGATGAAACATGCCACATGCATGTATAGTCACAGGTATATCCCCTTTAAACATAATATTTATTGTTTTAATTTTTTATTTATTTATGGATGTGTGTGTGTGTCTGTGAGTGTATGCTACATATATGTGAGTGCTCACAGAGGCCAGAAGATGGTGTTTGATCTTTTGGAGTTTTAAGGCAATTGTGAGCCACTTAACATGGGTTCAGGGAGCCAAACTAGTACTCCAGAAGAGGAAGAAGCTTTCTTAACTACTGAGTCATTTCTTCAGCCCGATAATATTGATTTTATAGAGTTGTATCTACAAGCACAATATTAATAAGCTGGTTCTAGTTTGGCTGACACAAACTATTTCCCACTCAATATCCAGTAAAAAAAAAAAAAAAAAAAAAGAGGAGGTTTTAATGTTCATTTCTTCTTACTAAAGACCTTCTCACAACTAACTTTCATTCTACCCTGAACTAAGTCATATGCAGATATTTTATGAGGCATTTATATGAATAAATAAACATAGAAATCACCAGTATTTTATTAATATGCTAACATGATATCTATAGTTATAGATATAGATATATCAAACTGGCTTCCTTTATGGACTCTTATCCTTGTAAACCATAACCTACTGGACTTTTATGATGACCTTCTTATCAATGTCTGCATAATGAGAATAACATTATCATTAAAAATCCAGTGTTGTTGGTGATTTTTTGCATGATGCTTTCCCTGTTTAAGGTTGCTACCTTTCCATTTACCTACCAATTCCTTTGCAGCAGTAGCTTTTCTCTTGGCTTTTTCAGACCTTCACAATTATAGTTCTCAGGAAGTACTGATTTATATAAAAGTAACAATAACAGTCAATCATATATGATGCTATGAAGGCCAGAACTTTCATCCCCAATAACATACCAGAAAAATAAACTATTGAGAAATGATAAGGGAGGTAAGATGAGACTAGAGTAAGTATGCAGATGTTCATATGTATAAATAAAAACAAACAAGTAACTTCAGCATATCTACACATACATACACAGGTTGTTTTTCTATATAATTGCATAAATTATATTTCTGCATAAATAACAAGAGAAATAAACTAACAAATTTTATAAATTACTTTCCTAGCAAAAAAAAAAAAGACAACTACTATGTATGGAAATTTGTTTTTTATCTTTAAAGAACACCAGACTTAAACAGTTATTGCCTAAATTAGTACATGAACAATATTCATCTTTAATAAATATCAAACAGTTCCTTGAAAATATTTAGCATTCAAGATTTTTCCTTGCCCTCGAGTTAGTCTGCCAATGTTGCTTTAATTGTTTGTAGTGTTACAAGTTCAGCATATGTTTCTGTTCTTAAAATATCTTGTATATGAAGAAGAGATGAGACCATGACGAAGAACACGAATGTAGTAAATAGCTAGAGGTTGCAAGTAGTTTGCAAAAGAGAAAAGTATATTTCTCCCACTTCTCAAATCTTTTTAAAAACACATATGGAACCTCCAAGTTGTGGAAATTATTCCATTACTTGGTGGCTAAAATCCAAATATGTGAGACTTTCAAAAACCCGAAAGTCCCTAAAGAGGGAAAAGGAACACTGTAGAAATCATCGCTATCACTCACACTCATGTGTTCTGTGTAAAAGTAGAC